GTGGGGGCGGCCAATTCCTCTGGACGCTGTGCCCCCAACACTCCGCACGTCAGCATTTGTGTTCTGCCCATGCCCAGGCTTCCGCCCCACCAAGAATTCAGGCCAGTCGTGTGCCTCAGTGAGATTCTGGGCACAGCTGGCCTGGAAGAGGGGCAACTGGGACAGAATCCGGGCCCCGACCGGGGCTAGAACCTGGTGTGCTGGTGCCGCAAGGCGGAGGATTAGCCTAGTGAGCCCCGGCGCCGGCCAATCCAATACATCTTTAAAAAACAAAGATGTCCCTGGGACACCGTCGTCCCCTGCTGGTAGGGCCTGGGTTCCGCCTCCTGCCGATCGGCATCCCGGGAGGCACAGAGTGCAGGCTTCAGGACCCGGGTCCCTGCCCTGCACACGAGACCGAAATTGGGTCCTCGGCTCCTGGCCGTGGCCCGGTCCAGCCTCAGCTGCTGTGGGCATTTGGAAACTGAACCAGCCTATGGGAGACTTCTCCATCTCCCAACTCCCTTAAAAAAAAAGTGCGTGGGGGGGGGGGCTGCAGCCCAATGTGGTTAACAAGCCGTCAGCTGCCAGGGACTTCTCACAGGGAGGCACCCAGCTGTGGACACACACACAGCCACACAGCACGTGCCCAAGTCCCGGGGCTCCAACACCGAGGTCGGCCCCGGATCAGCAGTGGAGACGGACCTCTGGTTTCACGGTCCCCGATCCCCACTGCCCGTGGGAGCCGGCAGGTGCTGCGCCTGGGCGCCCCACCCAGCGTCTGCAACACGCCCCAGGCGGCTCGCACGTGCTCGCCCACCCATCTCCCGTGCAAGGGTTTACAGCCCGGAAAGCACGGCCGAGGGTGTCCCAAGCACCGCGGGCTGCCCACCCCCGGGCCGCCCACCCGCGTGCCGCCCACCGAGGGCCTGCCCACCGCGGGCCTGCCCACCCCCGGGCCGCCCACACGAGGGCCTGCCCACCGCGTGCCGCCCACCCGAGGACCTGCCCACCCCCGGGCCGCCCACCCGAGGGCCTGCCCACCGCGGGTCGCCCACCGCGTGCCGCCCACCAAGGGCCTGCCCACCCCCGGGCCGCCCACCAAAGGACCTGCCCACCGCGTGCCGCCCACCCGCGTGCCGCCCATCGCGGGCCCTTCCTCTGGCCGTGCAGATGCGACCCTGCTCTTGTCCGTCCCCAGGAGCTATAAGGAGGGGCCTCGTCCCAGGCCTCGGCTGTAGCGCCCACGGGCTGAGCTGGGCTCTGGCAGCCCCTGCACGGCGGACGTCTGCTTGGGGCCGCCCGTGCGCTGTCGGAGGGTTAAGCGGCGTCTCTCGCCCCGACCCCCGGAGCCAGCAGCACCCCGAGCTCTGAGACGTGACCCCGCAGGGCTCCCCCAGCACGCCGCCCTGCAAGCAGGCGGCATTTAGGCGCGGTCGCGGCATCCTGCAGGATGCACCGCCGGGGGCCAGTCTGCGGCCGGCCCGAGCCGCCCTCCCCGCGCGGCCGGCTCGCGAGCCCAGGGCTCAGACCACTTGTGCTTTGCTTGGGAAGTCGACACTGGACGGAACACTGTCCACTCACCTTCTAGGGGCCCGGACGTCCACGACCAAGGCCTGCTTCCGGCACGGGACGGAGCGCGACGCCCCACTTCCGCTCTCGGCAGGAAGTCCCTCCCCCTCGGGCCGTCAGTCCTCGAGACCACGTGGGCCCTCCTGGCGATGGGCGGCTGGTGCGGTGTCCCGTCCGACTTCAGACCGCTTCCTGCGGACGCCCACCCTGGAGGTGGCAGGTGATGGTCCAAGTGCTGGGGTCCCCGCCCGCCACGTGGGAGACCCGATGGCTTTCCAGGCTCCCTACCCCCCTCCCCTGCCTTTGAAAAAAAAAACAGGGGCCGGCGCCGCGGCTCACTAGGCTAATCCTCCGCCTGCGGCGCCGGCACACCGGGTTCTAGCCCCGGTCGGGGCGCCGGATTCTGTCCCGGTTGCTCCTCTTCCAGGCCAGCTCTCTGCTGTGGCCCGGGAGTGCAGTGGAGGATGGCCCAAGTGCTTGGGAGACCGGGAGAAGCACCTGGCTCCTGGCTTCGGATCGGCACAGCTCCGGCTACGGCGGCCATTTGGGGGGTGAACCAATGGAAGGAAGACCTTCCTCTGTCTCTCTCACTGTCTATAACTCTACCTGCCAAATAAATTTTAAAAAAAAATGAAAAAAGCAACAAATACAAGAGACTCGCCCCGCCATCAGGTGGTGAGTGCACTTGTCTGACTGACGTTGCTGCCTCTTTCAAACTTCTTGGCCACGAGAGAATGAGGGGCAGGTGAAGCCAGCGCCGAAGCCGGCGAGAGGAATGGTGGCTGCCCGGACCCTGGGCGGCCACTCGCGGCGGCTCACAGAAGAGCCTCACGCCCGAGGCCCCGCGCAGGGGCCTGCCTAGTCCCACTTCACAGGTGCGCCGCACCTGCTTCCCCGGCCCCCTGGCGCTGTGCGCTTTCTCCGTAGGCGGGCTGCATGTCCGCCCAGCACGTTTACGCGCCTGACGTGTGTGCACATCACCCAGGCGCTCCCGTGTGTCTGGAGGACTTGTGTGGGTTCCCAGCCTTCTGCCCACGCCCCCTATGGCTGCGCTCCTGTACTGCTGTGCCACTGTGGTGACCAGCGTCCCAGTAACCGACAGGCCCACCTGCTTGACCAGCTGCCCACAGGTCTGCAACGCAAGGCTTGGCTCCGGGCCACTTGTGCCTGTCAACCCCTACAGGCAGCTGGGAGCCTGGCTGGCAGCGGCCGCCCGGGCCTTTGTGTAGGCGTCTGTGAGTCCCCCCGCCGCCCTGGACCCAAGGCAGGCATCTCCTGTGGCCCCGCTGCTGTGGGAGACAAGTGGCTGTCCCCGGGGCATCTCTCACCACTGTGAGTAAAGAAAGATAAACCCACGGACGACCCAAACGGCTCTGACCTGTCGGGATCCACTGCTCGTCGTGCACCCTAAGCCCCGGGCATACAACCATTTCTTCACAGCGGTCCAGCCAAATGGCTGCTCTCCTGTTCCGCAGGAAGCCCGCTGGCCAGGGGGAGTGGCTCCAGCGGGTTCCCTCTCTCAGAAACTCACTGCCCGGTGCAGAGGTGGGCCCCACCTTTCAAGAACAAGTTTGCATGATTTAAAAAATAATTATTCTCACTTAATATGTACGGCTGAGAGGAGAGGCGCCAAGTGGCTCATTGTGGGGGGTGAGCCGCGCCGGGCGGGGGCAGGGCAAGCACTGGGCAGCTGGGTTTCCGGAGCTGTCCTGGACTAGCTCAGGAGGACGGTCCGGTTCTCTTGCAGCTGTGAGCAGTTTCACTTATGAGTAAGAAATTCCCGTCAGGCGGGTTGATCACTTAACTCGAGGTTATGTTTAACCGAAAATGCAAAATCAGTCTTTAGACAGTGAATTTCCAGATCCAGCAAGGTAGCGGGGGCTGGACGTGCATGGGGGGGGGGGTTCCCAGGGGAGGGGGGCTCGGCGGCAGCCGCACAGCTGCGGGGCTCCCAGGGTCCTCATTTGCCAGCTGAGGAGGGCGCGAGACAGGCTTAGCCAGAAAAGTGGCCCCACCCTCGTTAGCTGCTGCCAGCTGATTTTCAGGGTTGGATGTGACAAACCCTTCCACTTTCATCTAATTAAAGACTTATTAGCTGCCAAACACAGAAACAATTCCTTGAATAGAGAGCCTTCGGCCTGCAAACAGGACTGTAAAAAGTTCAATTTTTAGGTTGGCTGTTTGGCGGACGCTGTTCCCATGGCAACAGCGCTCCAAGGCCTCACAAAGGCAAATTAACCTTGAGTTACCCGACACGCTGCGGGCTGGGTCTGCGGAGGGTGGCAGGAACAAAGTAGAACAAAACTGAGGAGGAAATAAAGACGGCAAGGTTTGGCGAGTGCGCCTCCACGCAGAGTGGGTTAACTTCAGGCCCAGCGAGGCAGGTGCTGGGGCTGAGGCGGGGGACCAAGCCCACCACGGTGGCCCCAGGACGACCCCTGGCCTACACGGCAGCAGACGGTTGAAGAACCAGGGGAGCTTCTCCTGCCTGGCCACAGTGCGAGGTGCCGCAGAGCCCACAGCGCAGGCGGCCGGCCACCACCCCGGAGTCGGCCTGCTGCGGGGAGGGGCAGCGGCTTCAGCTAACCTGGTTGTGCCTGGCTGGGAGGCAGTGGGTGGAGCGTGTGGTCACCTGGTGCTCAGGCTCTGCCGTGGGCAGGTGCGGCTGTCACCCACGGCTACCGTCCTAATGGCAGGGCAAGCGTCTCTCAAACACGATGGTCCCACCGAGGTGACAAAGCCCGTGTGGTGCAGGGCTGGGTCTTGCTCCAAGCCTGAGGTGGGGGCCGAAGCTTGACAACGTGTTTACAGTGTTTACAAACAGGACCCAGGGCTCCGCCTTGGACGCGTTCACTCGGCCTCGCCCTCACTCGGCCTCGACCTGTCTACCAGAGTGCACCTGAGCCAGGTGGTGGGTGTGACCCCGGGTCAGGACCTCGGGAACCGGCAGGGGAGAAAGTGACACCCAGAACCCTGCACCGGCCAGCCGGCAACCGGAGCTCTCGCAAGCTGCGTCTGGTGCAGGGCGATTCCTAAGCCCAGGTGCCCACAGAAACTCCGCTCCTGCGGTGCCCCAGGGACGAGTGCCCTGGGGAACCCCCGGGCGAACCCCACTGTCCGTCCAGCACCGCGGCCTGCACCTGCTCAGTCCCGCGCTGCGTGCGTTTCAGTGGGAACACCAAACACTTGTAGAAGGATTTTTGTTTTGAAAGGCGGAGTGAGAAAGAGAGGGAATCGACCTTTCATCCGTCCACTGGTTCTCTCGCCACTGCCTGCCTCCGACAGCCTGGACTGGGCCAGGTGGAGGCCAGGAGCTCCACCCACGCCCTGGCAGGACCCAGGGGCTGCACACCGGCAGCACGCGGACCTGGAATCAGCGGCGGCACTCCGACACGGCACATCCCAAACGCCCGCCCCCACATGAACTTGTCACACGGAGGAAGCGTTGGTGGCAGGATTTCAGGCACCTTTATTCACTGCTCCAAGGAGCCTGCCTTCGAAGTCACTGCAACGCAAGGAAGCCAACTCCCGGAAGTCCCGACCCCCCCACAGCAAGCCCTATTTTCTCCAGGGGCCAGTCCCAGGCTCGGACACACCCGGCCCACGTGAGCAGGACACACGGCCGCACAGCACAGCCTGCCGGCCAGACTCCCGCACCCCCCGTACAGCTCATGAACAGGACAACTTCTCTCTCAATAGAAGTACATCTTTAAGATACAGACAGTGATGGCGGTGACGCGGGCAGCTGGAGCCCAAAGCGTACTGCTTTCGTTCGGGCTCCCCGGGAGCACTGTAGCACCGCTGAACTCGGGCGCCCGCTGTGCAGGGCCACCGCGGGGTCACCCGCGAGGCCTCCCTCCGGCACTGCACTCAGTGACAACAGCCATTGCCTTGTTTTCTGAAACCAATCCACTTGCTGCTCTGTTAGCTTAAATCACTAAGTAAGACTTCTTAAAACCTGGAGCCTGCCGCCGGCCACTTCTGTCCCGGCCGAGCCACTGGCGCACGGCTGACCTGGCCTCTCTCCTCACCCTGAACCACGGAGCAGGTGGAGTGACCGGGCTGAAATCCTGCCAGACTTTTGTGGTCATCACTGCACGTGAATCAGAACCTCATGCAAAACTGACACACACTCCTAGGGGCAGGCTGCGTTCTCTGGTTCTCTGCATCGTAGACGTTCTAGCAGAATCTAAAAGCTCTTTCCAGTGACTGCAGCGTCTCATCTCAGGGACGGAGCCCTCGACGGACAGGAATGCCGACTTTTGGCAACAGGGCAGTGAGTGGTTTCTGGAGAATTTTTAGAGTTTCCAGTCATTTGGAAAGTGCCGCCAGCACACTGCGTGCTGCTGCTAAATGCTCACTGCGTGAGACTTAATCCTAAATGCCACAAATATCGTAGGTCACCAAGTCCAACAGCGTCACAATGTGTCTAATAAAAAGTCCCACGGCAACTTCACAACCACTACAAGAGGAATGGAGGGGAGAGAGGACTCCACAGAAACACACTAAAAATGGACAACTGTGTGCTGGAACCGCCGAAGTGTTAGTGTTTAATAAGGAAGAGCACAACTAACCAAGTTCCAAGAGGGGAGGGTGCCGCATCTGAGAAGCGGCGGGGCGGGGCGGGGCGGGCCTCACTCTAACCTAACTACACGGCGTGTGGTGAGTGCACACGGTTACGTAAAACCTGTCTACACACAGCAGCCAGCTGCGAAAGCCATTCGGTCTTCTCTCGGCTTGAAACGTCCGGTGTCGCAGACTTCAGCGTGGCTCCCGGCGACCTGGGGAAGGCGGAAAACCATCAACGGGCCTCTCAGGATGTGCCGGCACGCAGGGAGCCCCGCGCAGCCCCGCCAAAGCCCTGTCCCAATCTGCTGAATGGGGCTCCTTTCTGGCCCAAGGCTCTAGCGAAAGTCAAGCAGGGTCAGCTGGCGGTCTTTATTATTTTTTTTAAATTCTGTTTCCTTTTCCCCTTCCTTTCTTTGTACTTTCCTTGTTGTCTGACGCTCATCAATGCTGCAACTCTAGAGGAAATTCTCACTTTATTGCTTTTCTTTTCTTTTACACTTTATTTATCTGAGGGGCTGGTGCCAGGCTGCAGTAGGTTACTCCTCCGCCTGCAGTGCCGGCATCCCTTGTGGGCGCTGGTTCAAGTCCCGGCTGCTCCTCTTCCAATCCAGCTCCCTGCTAATGCACCTGGGAAACAGTGGAGGATGGCTCAAGTCCTTGGGCCCCTGCACCCGCGTGGGAGACCTGGAAGAAGCTCCTGGCTCCTGGCGTCGGATCGGCTCAGCTCCTGCCATTGCAGCCAGTTGGGGAGTGCACCAGCAGATGGAACATCTGTCTCTCTGTCTCTCCCTCCTACTGTCTGTAACTCTA